AGACTGGGCATACTGCGATAACAGGATTTTATTATGGAAGAGGCTCTACATTGGGATAAGCAAGAGGATCTGTCGCACTCTTGATCCTTCCCAGTGAAACTCCTTTTCGTTCCCAAGTACATTTTGTACCGAATTCTGATTAAACTGCCTCTTAATGCCTATGTCCTCCACTTTTCTCCCTGGTTCTTCATGGCTGTTCCCTTTTGCAGAAAATCTAAAACTTTCATCACTCCGTTCCATTTTCTTCTCCTTTCCAATAACCCAATCCTCCATCTACTGCATCTGATTATTTCAAGCCACGCTCCAAAGTTGTCACTACCGCATCTCCTCCACAGCTTCAGTGAAAGAGCAAGCTAACGTGCCGAGCCTGCAAAGCAATTCCCAAGTGTTCAGTGTCGGGCAGGAATTCTCTAATACTCAGGGAACAAATTCTCCTATCCCACTGTCAGGCTCTGTGAGCCAGTACACAAACATAAATATTTCAATTCCCAGCCTTCAAAACTGCTGGAACCCTCCCTGTCTCAATTAATCACTATACCTCTGATGCCTAGAACTCCAGAGATAAAATTCCACCGCTTTTTCTCATGTTTCCTTTCTCAGTAATTTCTGTGAACTGCGGTCTCTGAAGGAGCCTTGGTGGCATAGTGGATTTCACGTTGGGTTGCTGAATGCAAGGTCTGCAGTTCAAAACTACCAACTTCTCCACAGTCGGAAGTTGAGGCTTTCTTCTCCTATGAAGATGTACAGCCGTGGCGAAACCAAAGGGGCAGTCTCCTCTTTCCCCTGAGCTCACTGTGGGTTGGAAGCCACTCCATGGCGGCGAGTGAGTGGAAAGAGTGAGAGTGCTTTTGGAATGACCACAGGAAAACAATGCACTCTCTCGCTGTCTGAAACAGCATCTCCATGGAAGAAACCATGCAGACTTCTGTCCGACCAGAGCGATGGTGCTCTGAGTTGGGAGCCACTACTGGACGAAGAACCAGGGTATCTTCTCCTCTCTTTCCAGAGAAGTAAAACCTGGGTCTGCTTGGGCATCCCCGCCCGAACTCACCTGTCTGATAATCAATGGAAAGTTTCTCAAATTTTGGTACTTAAAAATATACATTATTCTGATTTGTTGCTGCTGTTTTTTACTAAGAAATTAGGAGCTACTACACTATTTTAAACTAAGAATTGGGTTTTCTTTTTCAAAACTAAATTTTTTCAGTAAAAATTATTTCAAACAAAAAGCTGTCATTTTATATTTTAAAAAGTATTCTCCCTTATGAGTTTCTGTATAAAAAAAAGTAAACACACTAGATGGGGAAATGTTTTTAAACTATTTTAGACATTCTATAAAAGAGCTATATGAAAAAGAACAAAAATAAAAATATCCCTTGGATAATATCCATGAGTACAGAAGATGATTCTGGATTTATAAATAATTCATATGAGTTAAGCAAATACAATATTTATATCACTCTCTAAAGAAAGCACATAGTTTATTAAGCTTCAAGTTCCTTAGCAGATTAATAATAAACGTTTAGTGTATATATTATCACGATATTTATCTC